CAAAAAGCCAAGCTACACGCATCACCAAAAGGGTCGTGTGCTCAGAATTGGCCCAAATCTTTGACCTACTGGGTTTCTTTGCCCCGGTGATAGTCAAGGCAAAAATATTTATGCAACAGCTGTGGGAGATTAAACTCGATTGGGACGATGAACTGCCATTACAACTCCAAAACGAATGGAAGGAGTACCGGGAGGACCTACAATCATTAAACTCAATGGAGATTCCCGGCACGTATATGATGGAAAAGTGCCAGTCACCCAGGATCTACATACCTTTGTAGACGCATCGGAACGAGCCTATGGCGCGGCAGTGTACGTACGAGCCACCTACAAAAACAATCAGGTCTCTGTACGACTATTATGCTCAAAATCTCGAGTAGCACCCACCGCCAAACAATCCCTACCACGTCTAGAACTGTGCGCTGCAGTTTTAGGTGCCGAACTCACCAATCGAGTTAGAAAGGATCTCCATATGAATCTTACACAGTATCAGGAATCTTCTGGACTGATTCCACCGTTGTACTGTCCTGGATTAACGCATCGGTGTCCACATACCACACATTCGTGGCAAATCGAATCGCCAAAATCCAGGCATTGACGAACCAATTACAATGGCGTCATGTTTCATCAGCCAACAACGCAGCAGATGTCCTTTCAAGAGGAATCTTAGCAAGCAAGCTAAGGGATCATAGTCTATGGCTATACGGACCATTATTCTTGCACGGATCAGAAGATAAATGGACAAAACCACCCATCATTGAGCCCAGCAATCTCGAGAGAAAGGCTAAGCATGTCAGCTTGCCAATCGCATCTAGCTCTCTCGGAGAAGAGTTATACACATGCAGACATAGCAACTCGTTCAACAAACTACAACGTATTGTAGCGTACATGTTTCGCTTCTGCTACAAAACTAATAGAGCACCTACAACGACACTTTGCGCAGGAGAACTAAGGCGTGCTCGCACTATGATCCTACGAACGATTCAACAAGTTGAGTTCACAGCGGATTTAAAACAATTAAAACGCTATAAAACATTGGATAAAAAGAGTTCGATCATTTCGTTATCTCCCTTACTAGGAGATGATGAGCTCATCCGAGTTGGCGGAAGACTCGAAGAAGCTCAAATTCCGTTCAATGCAAAACATCCAATCCTGCTACCGTACAACGACCCAATAGTCAAAATGATTATGCGTGAGCTTCATGAGGAAAATCTGCATTGCGGTGCCCAAGCATTAAGGGCAATCGCAAGACAACAATATTGGATTATCAACGACAAGACGATGGCTAGAAGCATCATACATAGCTGTATGAGATGCACCAGAGCCAGACCAAAGCTGATGCACCAGATCATGGGCAATCTTCCAGCACAAAGAGTCACGCAAGCACGCCCATTCCTTAATGCAGGCGTTGACTACTGTGGACCAATTATGATCCACCATAAAATCCGAGGAAAACGGCCAGATAAGGCATACATTGCCGTATTCTGCTGCTTCTCCACAAAGGCTGTACATCTGGAGTTAGTAAGTGACTTAACCACAGATGCATTCTTGGCAGCATCTCGGCGATTCCTTAGCAGACGCGGGAAGTGTCAGACTATTCATTGCGACAACGCAACAAATTTCGTCGGCGCAAATAACAAGCTAAAGGAATTGAAAGAAGCAATATTTAGCGAAAAGGCATATGCTCTGATCACAAATCATTGCAACAAAAAACAAGTGGATTTTAAATTCATTTCCTCTTGGGGCCCATCGTTTGGCGGCCTCTGGGAAGCTGCGGTAAAATCAGCGAAAAGGCTGTTAGTTACAACCACAGAAACAGCATCCTTGACGTTTGAGGAGCTGAACACAGTCATAATCGAAATTGAAGCAATTCTGAACTCCCGACCCATAACTCCAATGTCAAATGATCCAACGGATACAAGTGCGCTTACTCCAGGGCATTTCCTGATCGGTGAACCTTTGACCGCAGCACCTGACGTCAACACCGATCGTCAAGAGAAAACTCTGGTTAAGCGCTGGGAATTGGTTTCACGCTTAAAGCATGCATTTTGGAAACAATGGTCTACGAATACCTCCACGAACTACAAACTCGCCATAAATGGAAAACCACCGCTCCAAACGTGACCGAAGGATTATTAGTTTTGGTGAAGGAAGACAACCTTCCAGTAATGAAATGGCCAATGGGTCGCATCATCAAAACTTATCCTGGGCAAGACAACCATGTACGAGTGGTTGATGTCAAAACATCGTCCGGCGTATACAAACGCCCCATCAGTCGTCTCGCCCATTATTCTCAGAGGAGGTAGCAACAAAACGCTCCAAAAATGCTATTCAAGACATTGCGGAAATAAAGGAGCCACCAACACAGCGAAAAAGGTTATCATTACCTACACTAACATCCACATTGGTAGTGCTACTTCTCATGCTGCCATTAGCATTTTCACAATCAATAAATGTGACGCAATTTGCAAACAAGCCTGGAATATTCTATGAGAAACTTGGAACCTCAAGAATGACCACTTCCGAATGGACCATTATTGTATACTACGACTTGGATCCATATTGGAAGGATATGCAAGTCATGTCAGCCGGAATGTCCGAACTAAGACACATGTGCCCTGAACTAAAAAATGTTCCAGCGTGCAACTCCATATTTCAACACTTTCAACATTTGTACAAAGAACTACAAACAGGAAATATGCTAATGAAGGCCTCTCGACAACGCAGATCACCGCTGGATATAGTAGGAAACGTGGCACACCAGCTATTCGGTGTACTTGACTCTACATATGCTGAGAAAATGGCTAAAGTAATCGAAAAGGTACAAACCAACGAAGACTTTCTGCTACATCTACTACGAAATCAAACGTCAATTGTCGACTCCACAATGAACGTGATCAGGAAGGATAAGTCAGCCATGGACAACCGCCTAAAGGTATTGGAACAACAAGTGGCAACCATCAGCAGAGAAAGAGGAACATATCATGGCGATCATCTAATTCAGTCATACCTAGGGCTCACAGCACAACTAACTCTGCTGACAACGAGTCTTCAACGTATGCAGTCTGACATATCTGATGTATTAATCGGCATTCACCATCGGACAATAAGCCCAACGCTAGTATCTCCTGAGCAATTAAGAGAGCAACTAGACCAAATCCGGGATCACTTGCCAGCTGATCAAATGTTGCCTGTCACAACACAAAATGTGATACAATTATACAGGCTAATGCGCGCTGAAGGAACACTGACTACCACACACGTCATTTTCAAGGTGACACTACCGTTAGTTTCAACATTTCAGCTCGAAGTTTTCAGTATCATGCCGATTCCGGTCTGGGACTCAACAAGTTGGAGCTTGTTCAATCTCAAAACAACCATAATCACTGTAAACACTCACCGAGATCAATTCATGGGATTTACTCCAGAAGAATTTCGACGCTGCTTTAAACTACTCAACGCAGAATACATCTGCTTTGATCATCAAACAGTCTTCAATGTCGACAATCGCTGTGAGTTTCAGCTGTTTAACAATAAAACAGCACCTTTATGTGAAGTGACCCACACGAAGGCGGACATGGTGTGGTCCAAAACTCAGCAAGCAAATAAATGGATTTTTGCAACACACTCTACAATGAGACTTCAGGCAGTTTGCAACGGGTCTCCATCAACCATACAACTAGAAGGAACTGGCTTGCTCTCACTGTCACCTGGATGCACTGCTCGCAATACAGAAATAAGCATCAGTACCTTCAGCACAACAATCAGTGAAGTCAAATCAACCTACACTCGATTTGGGGACATACGCTTACCAACGACACCCCCTTCGCCAGCAACTGCACAATTGGAGAACCAGACATCAGACTATCTTCAAGAATTGGAAGATTTACGCCTGCAATTAGTGGCAATCAATCAACAAAGCCTGCCACACCATCTCAACACAGTGCAGCATCATCAAATCGCTACTTATGCTGCCCTAGCAATATCAATGCTATTGATTATTGCGTTCATTCTCCGGAAGAAGTATCAATCATGGAACCCAAGGCCGTCAACAATCAACCAAGCAGAGCCACGCGGATCATCACCGCCGATCCCCATTCCACGCCGCTTTTCAGTCGACTTGGCGATGGTTGAACACCAGTTCAACGGCCGGGAGAATGTTCAGTCGCATATTTATGCAGTAATTAATATTACATAATATACACTTATCGAATAAGTCAGGTCGACCCATGTAACGGGAGACATAATAACAAACGACAAGGCATTGTAGCTGAGTCAACAATAACCGCTTCTGCAGCAATTTCTGCCAACGATGCGATCGCTCGTCAGAGGGAAAACACTGGTGCAATTGCTGACTATCACAATTGCCCAATAACACAATATCATATTAAATCCAAATTAATTCAATATTAATTCCAATTCCCTTTTACCATATTCTAACTAGACTCAGCACTTTCTGTACCTTTTGTTACCTATAAATAGAAATTAAGTTTGTTGAATAAAATCAGTATCAGAAACAGTACCATCACTGCCTGTTCACTCATTCTCTACAACTGCAATCAACAGAGGCTGTCGCCGTGTCTTCAGACCCTCATTTGCTCGACGTAGGAATCCCTCTCCGCAGTCCAACTGGTTCAAGTTCTAGTTGCGACGACAAATTTGTAGACGGTTTATGTACCGTATGCATATCAAAACACACACACAAACACACATTAACAGGAAGTTTCGCTTTCATTTTCTGTTGGAGCCGCTGAGAGGGCCCATCGGGTCTGTCTCTGACAAACATCCTGAGGAGGAGTAGTCCTCCTGCATTTATATGTTTCCCCCTGCCCATTCGAAACTCCTTCATTGAATCTTCAATACTGGACAATTTATGTAACTCGAGCATGTGGATAATTATGTTTGCTTGGGCAGAGTCTTCTTCTGTTTCAGAAGCAAGGACTTCAAGGACATTGCTGAGCAGAAGGGCCGCCGAAAGGGTTTGGTTTGTTTTTTTTTTGCATAAAATAGCCGGGAACAAAATCAATGGGCGCCGCCTACTTCCAGGGCAGCTTGGGGGCCTGCTTCTGGCCGCGCTCCTCCAGGCGCTTGTTGAAGAAGGCAATGGTCAGGTGGCGCTTGGCCGGGGTGAGCGTCGTCTTTGAGTTCTTGTTGGAGGCCGGATCGGGGCGCAGGCAGGCGAAGCTGCCCAGGCTGCTGTCCACGGGCACAAGTCGCGAGCGACGGCGACGGATGCGAGGGGGCGACTTGACTGCCGAACGGGCTGGAGATCCACTGGAGCGTCCAACGGCGAACGGGAACGGATTGGGGGGGCGCTTAGCGGGGCGCCTGGTCGGGGAGCACAGTCGGGACTTCCTGGTACTCGCCTCCACTGGATCCTGCTGCTGCAGCTGCTGCTGCTGCTTGGCATGGCGACGTCCCAGGCCGCCAGACTTGAGGCGCTCCGGGTCGTCGATGGCCTCCTCGCGCTTGAGGTCACGGATGAGGCGCGCCTGCAGGCGATTGTAGCGCGATTGCCGGTTGCCCAAGGACTTGGCCTTGGGGGCTGCCGGGACGGTGACAGCCGACGGCTTCTTCTTGTACTTCGAGCCAACCATGAAAGTGGACCTTGGCGTTGAGGCGGGCCTTGTCCTGGGGCGACTTCTTCTTGGCCATGGCTACGGACTTGTGGACGGAGGTGCGACTGGGCGCGGACAGCGGCTTCCTGATGGCCGATGCCTTGGAGGTGCCCCTGGCCTACTGCTGGCGCTTGTTGGCGTTGCCCTTCTGGGAAGTTGGCTGCGTGCCGGTGGCTGTGGCGGTGGCACCGGCTCCGCCCTGGAACTGGTACGGCGTGTACCAGGGAAAGGCGACGCTCCTGATCTGCTTGGCCACATGCGAGTCGAGCTTGCTCTGGCCGTGGATGGCCATCTCCACGTTGGACTCCAGCGGCGTCTTCTTCTCCACAACAAAGCCGCCGGCCAGGCGACCTGCGCGCTTCACGTGGTGATGCGACTTGGTGCGCCGCACCAGCCAGGGCTTCGAGTAGGTGCGCTGCAGCAGCGGTACCCGCGCCCCGATCTTTGACATGGATTTGGCCTTCTTGGAGGGCAGCTTGGGCGCCACCGTTTCGGCATTTCGCTTGTTGCGCCCTCTGGCCGGTGCCGGCGGCGGGTGATGGTAGGCGCCGGCTGGCAGCTGCACCTTGCCCGCTGCTGTCTCTCTGTTGCGGTTGACTCGCACCGACGACTTCCTCAATTGCAGTGCCGATGGTGTCGTCTGGGATATGCCCTTGACCTTGGCCGGAGACTGCTGAGGCTGCTGAGGCTTTGTTGAGAGAATCCCCTTGGTGGGGCGGTGCTTCTTGAGGGGACGCGTGGAGCCGCCTGGACGCTTGGAGACCTGCAGCAGGATGTCCTTGCGGTCGAACGGCAAGTGCGAATCGTCGATGATGACGCCGTTGAGGCTGCGACTGCCCTCGTCGTCCAGCTGAAAGATAGTCACGGGGCTCTCGAAACGCTTCAGCCTGGAGGCGGCCTGCTTCCTGGCATTCATCGATTTGTTGGTCAGCAGCCTGTCCAGACCCGTGTTGCCCACTCCGCTGGACTGGCCGCCCGTCGGCCTGAATGGCAGCATCTTCATCTTTGTGTTCGTGCTGGTGTTGGTCCGCTGGGGCCTCTCCGTTTGGACGCCCGTGGTCGCCTTCTGCTGAACGAGATCGTCAAAGGCCTCCTTCGACTGGGCGATCAGCTCGGTGAAGTTAATGTGATCGGGCCGGGCAAAGTACATGTGACCCTTGAAGTCGGCCACCTCGCCCAGGCTGTGCCGCTCGGCGATCACCTGGGCCACCACGCGCTTCATGGTGGCCCGATTCAGCTGCTCCAGATGATTGGCCACGTTCTTGGCCAGAGCCTTGAGGGCGCCGCCCGAGCCGCCGATTTGCGGCGAGCTCCACACTGACTTCTCCATGGACTTGGGCGGCCCCGCCGTGCACAGGTCCTCGTCTGAGAATCTAGTGCCGAATGCTTTGTGTACTCTTGCCAGGACCTTCTGTGTGTGTTGGTGTTGATTGCGGTGCAGCTTGTCCGAGAACGAGTGTATGGGCATTTTCTTAGATTTAGCCAAATGTTTTGCAATGTTTTTCTTCATTTTCGGAACATGTGTATGTTAATTTTAGTAGGAAATAAATATGGAACAGATAATGATACATCCAGCAAATACGACAACTAACTTGAATGTCGCTATGGGCAGTGCTTGCTGAGTTATTTGTTTTATTTGCTTTATTACATTACATTCGAGTAGGTTTGGGGGGCGGCTGGCGATCATTAGGATGTGGCATGTCTTGAGGCAGCTGCCTACGCTGCCTACGCTCGCTCGCTGGCTCCTTCGGGCTCAGCAGCTGCATGGCCAGTAGCCACGTGCTAAGGGCCTTCCTTTCTTCCCCTCCCCTTATCAATGGGCCAAGGCAATCAAGCGGCAGGAAAACACCGTACCCGCTAGCTAGAGCTACCTGCGGCAGAGAAAAACCCTCAAACACCGACCCAACCGCAGTGACTCGGACTCGGACTCTGTCTCGTACTCGTACTCGTACTCCAGGGGGAAGATGAAAAATTATAAATGATTTCATTAAAGCGAGAGCTGAGGGTCGACCTAGGTCAGGGCCAAAGACTGCTGGTGGTGCACATGCACCTGCAGTTCATTCGATTGTCGAGGGACACCTTGGGCAGGTGAAGGAGCTGCTCGTTCTTTTAGGGGTGGGAAAAATGATTTACGCAATGAGCGAGACACAGTTTTGATGATCCGCTTCAGTAAAGTCGAATGCCCGGACAGCCCAGAAAAGGGGGAACCCTTTGCAAAGTTCGATATGGAAGGGCCACTGCCGCGTCGCTGCCTCTGCCATCACTGGCCTCTTTCCCCATTCGCTCTGGCTCTGACTCTGCGCTCTACGCTCTGACTCTGCCTCTGTCTGTGGCTCGTTTGGGCCACTTAACCGTAATTAGGGCTTTTCAATATTATTAATGATGATGGTCGCTTGCTGGCCTGGAAATGTGGGAAATGCATTGCGAATTGATGACGATGACTGCGATGACGATGACGACGACGGCAGACAGACAGACAAAGGACTGGCGGACAGGCGTACGGACATGCGGACAATGAATGCAAAAAATGCAAACACGCAAACCGAAAGCGCAACAATTTTCGAACTGCAATTTTTGTGCCGCTCTGCTTCGCTCTATTTGACTTTTTCTGTTGTTGTTGTTGTTGTTGTTGTTGCTGTTGTCGATGTGGTGGTGGCAGTGGCTGTGGTGGTGGTGGTTCCATTCCATCCATACGTTTTTAGCGTTATCAGTGCAAAATAATCTTTCAATCAGCCCTCGACGAGTACAAACAACGTCGTCGACATCGTCGACTCTTCTCTGTCGTATGCAAAGGCCCAACGAAGCGTAACGCCAATTGTTGCAGTTGCAGTTGCAGTGTTGCTGCTGCTGTTGCTGTGTGTGGCAGGATGGGAAGACTGGTGGCACTTGAAGGGCTTGCAATTACAATGAACCCAGAACCTATCGAATGGCCTAACGTGCAGTCCCAGCTCCGATCCATGCCATATCCCAGGGGCCGGGACAACTTGTTGCCTCACGCATCCGATTCCCCTCCACGGATGCAACTAGGGGGCGGTAGAGATGGTACAATATGGAGGAGGCTGAGTCCTGAGGGCTTTCCCTTAAGGAAGGATTTTCTAGCAGGTTTTTTATTACTATTATTATTTTTTAAACATTTAAATGGTGTTTTTTTGTACTATTTGGACAGAGTGTCTAAGCGTGGAATGCTTACAGCCTAAAGGTTTACCCAGATACACATCGGCAGTGCTTTCTTCCAGTGATTAAAATATTAAATCAAAATAAATGTATAATAAAATAAATTTTATTTATTTATTTCAAGGCTATATTCAAGGCATTATCTTTTTAACGTTTCGGCTCATGGAAAGAGAAATGTCCTCAGGAATCTCAAGGGTAAGTGTATATTCAGCTGATTTCGAAAGATTTAAAGCTGGACTTATTTGAGAATATTTAATGACACAATTTTAAGCGGAGTATTTGTGGAAGTTAAAAAAATCAATTATACAAGCCTCAAAGATATTTTTATGCTCTTGTTTTGTGTTCTGTTGTAGTAGCAGTGCGTGCTGCTACTTAAAGATCGATCATAATTTCATATATTCTTTTTTCTCTGTCTCTTGTTTGCCTCGTTTTTATTTTTTAATACTCATGTGATTTAAGTCTCCAATAATATATTTAATATTTGTAAAGCAAGCAAGTCCTTGCCAATATAATGTTTCCCCCTTGGAGTGCCTTGCTCTGCCTAGCTCTTCGATATGTTTACCAAAAGTGTTCTCTGAGTGAAAGAAATATTTAGAAATGTTCAATAATTATAATTAGATATTAAAATATAATTTGTAAGTAACTTTCTGATTTTTTTAAAATATTTACCGCTTCACTTACAGCTATTGGAATTTGGCATATAATAAACATTATATAGACTACGATCATATCTAAAAATATTCAATAAAATGTAGAAAAATCTCTAAGCTGCGAGTGCGATTGTGAGTTCCCTTGTTGGTTAGAGAGTAACTGGATTTTGTAGTAATTAAGGGACATCCCCTGTTTGGGGCTCTCGCAGCTCTATGCACGCCACATATTTGTACATATGGCGATGTTCGTACCTAGTAGCTGCAATTATATAATCAATTGTGGTTCCCATACAAACCATTCTGCTGCTGGTGCCTTATCTATATCCGTACCGTACCCCCCCTAGTCGCCACATGCCGCACTTTCAACTCATTTCAATGGCCATTTGCGCCTTGTTTGCCTTGTCGTTCGCGAGCCAAAACCAAAAGCCAAAAAACCAAAAGAAAGAAAGAAAGAAAGAGAGAAGGGGAGGGCTGGAGGGGGAACTGCAGCGGCTGGAGAAGAGGAAGCGGCCCAAACAAGCGGCTTGGGCCCGGGAATCATTTAAGCATTGCGGTGTGAAATTTCACACCGATTGCAATAAAAATTCAAGCGACCAACAATAAAACGCGAGTGAGAGAGAAAGGCCCCGTACCCACTGAGACAGAGCCGAAACCCCCAGACAAAGTCGAGGCTCAGGCCCAGAGACCCAGGGCACACAGGGCACAAGCAGGGCACAGAGCCCAACATTGAAACAAAATCAATCAAACAGACGACGGGCTGCGCATGCGCGCACGCCGGATGTGGATGTGTTGGTAGCTGCTGCTGCTGCTGCCCCAAGGGTAGGGAGCGGGGTGGGGTGGGGGGCCATGTACTGGCGGCGTTAATGGTGTCACTAAGTACGCCGCAAACTGACAGACGGACGGACGAACGGAGGCTTCTGTTGATGCCGCTGATCATCGAATGGAACCAATAAAAGTTGCCTTCCCCATTGTCTTTATTTGCGCGGGTCGCGCAGCCTGTACTCCGTACTCCGTACTGCGTACTCCTATTCGAATTCGTACCATTTCCATTTCCCATTTCATTCAATTTGCATTTGTCGGCGCCGAATGTGTGGCCAGCGCATGGTTGAATGGTCTTGCGGGTGCCGCTGATGAATGGGAGGAGGGAGAGCTCTGTGCTCTGGGAGTCCGAATCGAGTCGGGGGAGTGAACAAAAGAGTCAACCCATAGAGCCGAAACAATTCAATTGTCTGCCTGGTTGGGCATTCGGTGTTGGTTTTCTTGTTTCGCTGGCTGTTTGCTGTTGCTGTCTGCTGTCTGCTGTTGGTTGCGGTACATTGCATCTCACACATCTCGCACATTAGCGGTGCCAATGCCAACGATGACGATTGCAGAATGGAAGTCCGCTCCGCTCAGCTCAGCTCAGCTCTGCCCTCAAATGATGTATGGATACTGAAGTCCAATGGAATTTCGTGGCATGAATTAGTAAGAGAAGTGTAAATTTGATGGAAATTCAATTGAATTGAATTTATTTAAATATATATATATTTATATCCCGCCAGTCAGCAGTGACTCTCTATACCTTAAGCATAATTCCATTTCGATTTCCATTCCATTTCTAGTATATTTATGAGTGCATTCACTCTCCCAATCAAACACTGCACACTGCATCCATCCTCTGCTCGAGTTCTACACATTGCTAATCATATATCATTCATTTATCTATATGTGTACATTGTACACACATATATATGAGTATTTCCGACTAACCCTCACACTACACTCCCCCTCATTGCCCTCTGAGTGCTCTGCTAATATGCGGGCGCGATCGGAACCGCAACCGAAGCAGCCACTCGCACCGAAGTCCGAATGTTAATTGCACTCGCACAGAGGGATGGGGCTGGGCTGTGCTGGGATGGGAACGGAGAATAAGAGACCTACATATGTACATATGTATGTATAAATATTTTTTCCAATGAAACATTTTTATGTTAATTCGAAAAATTGTTTTACAACCAATTAACTTAGCCAATGCACCAAAAAGATCAACGGACAAGATCGCAGAGCACCACTGAGAACCGCCGAATGGCAGAGGCAGTGGCAGTGACAGTGGCAGAGGGTGAGGGCGCATGAGCGTCGATCGCATGCTATGACGCTTGGAATTTCATTATGCGACTGTCAGTTGATGGCCCAAACTAAGACCTTCCACTGGCACTGGCACTGGGACTGCCAGCGGGCAGGCAGGTGCACCTCTAGAGAGACACACACTAGAGACAACTTCCTTACAGCGGACAGTGCAGCGATGGTGGTGGTGGTGGTGATGTTGTTGCTTCTGCTGGCGGTTTCCTCAATTCTCGATGAATGTCCTGTTGCTGCGGGTCAGTGCTGCGCCTCGCTCTAAATCAATCAAGCGCATCCAACAGAACCCGAAGAAAAACACAAACACGACAAAAAAAAATACATGTAATACGGCATAGGGGACAGCCTCGACTGGGAGTTACCTGGTAATGGCAAAAGATGAGGCTGATTCCATATATAATTTGTATAAAATATAAAACAGGGAGTTAATCATATATCAAAAATAGGTTCTAAAATAAAAATGAATTAAAATTTTTTTAAATCGAAAAACTTCCTAAAGTTTTTGAACCTTTAAAAAAGTTGCTAATCAAACAGTACAGTACGTTAAGTAATTTAACTATACTGTCTGTGATAATTGTTTACAATATACCTGCATAATAAACACAAAAAAAAAAAAAGAAAAAAAAAAATTTCCTAAAGTCGATCGCT